TAAAGATTTGACTTATTATGCAAACGTTTTTGAAGCCATTTAAAAAACTCGCAGGTCGTGTTTTATTAGGTCTAAAGCCACTCGCGCTGCGCGCTCGTGTCTTTAAACCTAATAAAACACTCCTGCTCGTTTATTAAACAATACATAAAGCACTATACGTTTTATAATAAATAGTACTTATAGATTAAGATACAATTTCTTTCGATATTTTTTACATATTTGATGAGATAAATTTTCAGGGTTTTCTTAAAGGAGGTGAAGGAAATTGTAATAGGAGTAGGCAATGAATTAGAATACTTTGGTTCTCAGACTCATATCCTGAAATAAATGTTTTTGAATTTTCTTCTGCTTGACATTGGTGAACAATGGCGATGAGTGTGACCAGTAAGCGACAAAAAATAGGATTTTTTAGGCCCTACCTGCATCAAAGTAGGTACAATTAAGGATACTTTTCTAGTTAACTGTCCTTAGCAGATTGGGCATTAGATATGGTGTCCAAATTGAATTCTTTTCTCAGCAAGTGAATATTGACATCGTATACAAATTACCTTCGAAAATACACAATGGCATATCTGCTGTTATCTCGTCCGAACACTTTAATCTGACCAACATCGCCATGTTTCTTGAATTCATGATACAGCCCACCTCTGATTGTTGTATCTGTAATCGTAGGAAAAATTCAGATTGTTGGTGTGTGCTCATCAGGTGTTCTTAACATAAAACCCCCCATCAAAGTCACCAAACTGACCAAGAGTTTTTAGAAGTCAATTGCACTTGTATATAATACCACATATGGGTAATTAAAAACTAACATTGTTATTAGTTGGTAAAAGGATAAACATGAGATCATTAACCGACATTCTTTATCCATAAACCAAAGTTAAAACATAGATCATCCATTGCACATTATGCATCCAGTTAATCATGCACCTGCACTTATGTCGCACGTTTAATTAATTGACCATTTGCGTAATAGACAAAATTTTGATCTAAACAAGTCTGGACAAAAATTTTATCACAGCTTGAAAGATCATCACAAAATTAGTAATATTCCAAAGTTTCGTTGCGAAATGTTGTAAAATGCCGATAATATAGCCTTGCGAAATTTGCAGTTTTCAGTCATTTTAGATTACAAACGGGAAATTGACAGCCCGATACGCTTTGAGGCTGTCAATTTTCTGTTTGTAATCTAAAATGACTGAAAATTGCAAACTTCGCAAGGCTATATTATCCGCATTTTACAACATTTCGCAACGAAACTTTGGAATATTACTAATTTTGTGATGCTCTTTCAAGCTGTGATTTAATATTTGTCTAGACTTGTTGAGATCAAAATTTTGTCTATTACGCAAATGGTCAATTGTATTGCATGCCTTTGGTGACGCAAGTGGCAAGGGTGTAGCAGCCGTTGTTTATGCTGTGGTTAACCAACCCTCTGGTACAACGCAATGTCTAGTAGCAGCGAAGGCGAGACAGGCGAAACGCGGGTTGACAATTCCCAGGCTAGAGTTGGTCTCTGCATACATGGCGTCCAACCTCGTAGACAACGTGCGACAAGCCCTGACAAACAGTTCGTAGCCAATAGAATTCAAAAGGTCCAGTCAAAACCTAACATACAGTGGCGCTATGTTCCGACCGATTGCAATCCTGCTGATGTGGGAAGCAGAGCTGGCCAAGTGAAAGACAACCAACTGTGGTTAAATGGACCAGATGGCTTAAAGATAATTGTATGCGGCCAGAAAACATCGTAACCTGTGCGACCAAAGAAAGCGAAGCTGAAGCGAAGATGATCAAAACCGTGCTGGGATTGACCCAAGATAACTAACTCGGACTGTTTTGACTACATCCTTGAGAAGTTTGCATTACGAAAAGCCATGAGAATATGCGCGTGGATTACGAGGTTCATAACAAACCTGAGAAAACCCAATAGTAGAACTTTGGGACCACTAACGACTGATGAGCTCGAGCAGCAATATGTATTTTGGGAAAAGAAAGTACAACAGTGCTGTAGTAGCGAAGACGATAAGCTCCGACTCAATTTACAAGAGAACACCCAAGGTATCCTGGAGTGCAGGGGACGCATTCAAGGTCATTATCCAGTTTATCTGTCCGACAAGCACATCTTTGCGACCAAGCTCGTGGAAGATGCCCATCTATGCACCCTTCATGGGGGAGAGCGGCATAACCAAAATCACAAGAAGACGTCGTTCACGGTGAAAAAGGGTGATGTGGTTATTATACAATCGAATGAACGAAGTCGTGGAAAGTGGCCACTCGGTGTTGTCGACGAGCTTTACAAAGGACGTGATGGTGTTGTTCGTGCGGTGAAACTTCGTGCAGGGAAAACTTACCTTGAACGAGCAGTTAACCACCTGTATCCACTCGAGTTATCCTGTGACCGTACAGAAACAAAGGAACCTATCAACTTAAATCCGGAAGCGGCGTTGTTCTGACCAAGACGAGATGCTGCAGTGGCAGCTCAACAACGCATCAAAGAAGTAGCAGAGGTACAGCGTTGACGAAAACTATAGTGCAAATTGAACACTGAACTTTTATAGAACTTTATCCTTTATTAGTACTGTTTGGTTAGACAGTCTCCTTTGAGGGACATATACCTCGCTGCAAGGTATATGGGGGGAGAGTGTCGGAAACTGTCGTAATTTAGATTTATTTATGTTCACGCGTGGGACGCGCGAGTCCAAACTTTAGACTCTTCGGAAAGTTCCGGATTATACCGGTGGTTGTTGTTTTTTCAGGAGAGAACTTAAAAACATGTGGCTGTGAAACTGTGAAATTTGTGATTTTGTAATAGATATTATACTGTGATTTGTTGTGATTTATTTTGGGCGATACTTGGAGGCAATCCCCAACAGGGGTTTGGTTCCGGCAGGCGTCAGAGTTGCAAAAAAGCTGCGGGCACACGGGCATTGCCCGCGAGGAAGGTTTACCATAGGTGAGGTCAGTGAGGAAGGTTTAGTGGCCAATGGTTGCTACCACCAAAAGTCATGGTTGAATAAGGCAGTTGAGGCTGACAAGTTGTGGTGGCACTATTGTGATATAGTACCTATACCAGATGACTATGACATTGGAGAATACTGAGAAAACAAATAACTGAAAACATTCTGTAAAATTAAAATGTGTAAGTGTCAAGCATCAGAGGTGCCTTAGGCCACATAAAATAACTTGCTGGATTCTCATCACCGTCCAACTGTATTTTAAGAGCCGTGTTAAAATTTTTTATATTTTGTTATATAATATAAATGTACCGCCCGACAAAATATATAAGGTATTTTATATTTTATATTGGGGTTTTAGTGCCATTTTAAACTGCCAATTTAAACAAACAGAAAGTTGAAAGAAATTTCATTGCATTTTACAGGAACTTCGCATTTAGTTCAAGGAGATATGTTGGAAATGACAGAAATGTGTACTGTAATATGTTTATTTTGGTTTATGACACTTCACTTC